ATATACGATTTAAGTATTATAAGTTGTTAGATATTTCTCGACCGATTTTTGAATTTCCATCGACACGAAAAATCTATCCAAATTATTTCATTTCAAAAACTTTTTGAATTAAAAATCTCTCCGTAATTCAAACTAAAGTGGAGTTCAATTTATTAATTTTATTTTTAAGCCTAGTTAAAAAGGAATCCTAAAAATATTTAACATTTTAAATACGAATTAATAAAAAGAATTCTTTGTCGCAACAACATTTTCGATTTGATGACGAGATTATTTTATAAAAATAACTTTTATAGCTAACTTTTGTTGAACACTGAGCGGTTGGTTTTATTAATATTTTATTAAAAAGTCAAGTACTAATTCGGTTAACATTTTTTTACTTTATTTAAGTAATGAAATAAGGTGTTTTACAAATCGTAAGTTTACATTCCGCAATGATTAAAATGATAATAAAATATCAATAAATCTATCTATACTATTATAATAAAGCGTAAACACACACTTCTTTGTTGCCTAAGATGTCAGCAATTACAGCATGTTTTTCAATAATTCTTTGTGTAATAAAAGCCCTACACTTCGTCATGGTTTAGAATATACGAGTATATTTTCACGACATTAAACATAGGGGGGTTAATATTTTGGATAAAAATGTGGGAAAGAGACTATAAGTTGCTGCCAACATCAAGTAAGGTAATTGGTATTTTGACATTTGCAATTGATTATTTGACACATGTAAACAATAAAATAAATTAATGCGGATGAAGGCGCAGGGATTAGCTACTAAATAAATATATAACCTTCTTTTACTATTGCGCTAATAACAAATATTATTTATCCGCAATTTATGTTGGCAAAGGGTTTATCTATGGATGGTTTCTGTAAATTTATGGATCCGTACCCGCGCTACGCTCCAATTCGATAGCTGCTGCAATAAACATTTTAACTATTACATGTTGTGTGAAAACAAATAATAGAGAGAATTCAACTTTGGAATAGATGTTTCAAAATTGTATGGCAAATCAATTTCCTTAAAGAAATTATTGTTACTGATATAAATAGATTTAGCCATCGCAGAGTTAAAAAAACTTAACTAGTATACTACTATATGTCCTACATAACTATAATCTAAATCTGGGCCTTTATGCGACATCCTAAAATATATTTTTCTTTCCCAAATATATAACAAGGATTTGCCAGCGACTTAAAAAAAGGAGCCTACTGTTCTACCAGACAATCCTCTACATCTATGCCTTTCAATGCGATCCGTTCAGCAGTTTAGGCTACAAACTCTAACATCCATCTTTCGAAACATTCAAATTTATAATATCATAATAGTATGAACTATGATATCTCACATTTAATCATCTTATATCTATCTTTATCTATACTATTATAATAAAGCGTAAACACACACTTGTTTGTTGCCTAAGATGTCAGCAATTACAGCATATTTTTGAATAATTCTTTTTTTAATAAAAAGCCGTACACCTACGTCACGCTTTAGGCTATGTATTTTCACGCTATTAAACTTAGGGTTAAGTATTTTAAATAAAAACCCTAATGTGGGAAAGAGACCATAAGTTGCTGCCAACATCAAGGAAGCAAGATTGCCAAGGATTTGCTATTGGTTATTTAACAAATGTAAACAATAAAAAAAAATCATAATTTGATGCGGATGAAACAACACGGGAACAGCTAGTCCTTAATAAACTGAGACAGCAACGGTGAATGTGATAAGTAGTATTGTTATTACGTGATTAATTACTCACAGTATTGTAACAATGAGAGTTACAGTGAAATTACCAGCACGCTAGCGCGCGATCAGTGGTCGCGTGGCTGTCAGCCAGTAGAACTTAATTATATGTTGAGAGAATAATTTGAACAGAAAAACCAATCCCTAGGTTACGTAAATCAATAAAATTACATGCTCTTTTCTATTACTTTTTTAATATTGATAGATTTCTTTTAAATGGAAAAAATGTTTTTTTTTTATAACATAAGGTGGCAAACGAGCAAGTGGCCACCTGAATCTGCCAAAATAGCGAAGCGACCGCTGCCCATAGACGTCCGCAATTGCAGATGCGTTGCCTACCCTTATCCGACAGAGGAGGAGACGCACATAAAGAGGATATTTCCCCTTCCTTCCTATGCATCTCCTCTACCGTCAAATCCACTTCCCATTCCCATCCTCTCCTTATAAGAAAAGGGTGGTAAAGAGAAAGGGACTTAAATTAGGCCTCCGGCACCACACTCAACAGACGAAACACGGAATTGCTTCATTCTCATTCTCTTCTTCTTCAGATTTCCATTTCACGCCTGTTTTCTGTGTGGTCGTGGTATTACACCGAGCGTGCCGGCCCATTCGTGCTAAGATGTTAAAGCGGGCATTACCTGTGATGATTATGTTGATGTTAGAAAGTTAAATAAATCTTATAACAGCGCGCACACCTTAGACTAAATTATCGCACAACTGTTTAGACGCGCTTAGATACCTATGAGCTTATACTCGTATAGCGCACACTACTCGATTTTTAGTTGTGCAACGAAACAGTTGAATTGGTTGTGCGATAGTTTAGTCAAAGGTGTACGTCCGCTCTAAAGCTATAGTTACAAATATTAAAGTGAAAACAAACTTTTTAAACTTAATACTAAACTCCACATTAAAACTACTTAGTAACGACCGGCCAGAATCAATGTGAACATGAATACGTTCCCCAGAAGCAAATTAGTACGCAAGAGAAAACTTCCACGCGTTTATAATTGAAATGGAAAAGTTTTAACGAGGTAGAGTTAAAATTTTGTGTGACGGCGGTCGTGTTTATACAACTAATAACAAGCTATAACAACTAGTTAATAAAACAGTTACAACTATTGCTTTTAAAATTTTAATTTACTAAAAAGTTTTTATTAACAAATATTACGACATAAAACATCCTAAAGAAAAACCATTTACTATGTGAAACGCCATGGAGGCAATTACTTCCCGTCTACAGGTCTAGTCTGAATCATCTCCTTGCTCTCTAAACTTTTTTGTTTTTAGTAATCCATTATCTCATATCTGTTATTTACCTGGAGGGGAACAATCTGTAAATGCCTCTTCAAGGAATCTGTAAATGCCTCTTCAGCAAACAGTGGCCATTCAGTCAAATAAAAAAAGGAGGGGAATATTCTCTTACGCCGATGCTCCGAAAGTAGGATAAGAATATGATGATACTTCTTGTCTACATAAAACTTTTACATTTACTCATCGTAGACAATATTTTCTCTATAATAGACATTATCAGAATTATTGTAAAGCATAGCCAGTGTTATTATTAGCTCAAACAGATAGAAACAAAATTCTGTAAAGGACTTTGTTAGAGGATTCCAACATTTCCCGGAAACATTTTATCATCTAGCAACGTCTTCTTTTTTTTAATTTCTGACTCAAATAAGTAGTTCATTGGTGTAATAATAGATGGTAGTAGTTATTACTTCACGTCAGATTAACTTTTAATATAGTGTGTCTAAATAAATTAGGTTAGTTTGATAGTTTATTTCAAATTTAGTAAGGATGTTTGTGTAAAATCAGTCATGAATCTTATCGATTTCGATTTTAATTCTTATAGAAGTTGCAATTGATAGATTTATAGTTATAACTTATGAATTAAAAAAGAAAACTGTATTCTCAAATTAATAATGACCATAACAAATAATGAGAGTAAATAAATGTTTATTACTACTACAGCCGTACGTAATCGAATTGGATTTCGCTATTATTTCTGTCATCGCTAAATCCTCTAAACTATAATCAATACTAGAATTGTCCTATAAATTAGTTAATAAGAAAATAATAATTTTAGTAGAGTTCGATAATTATTTAAACCGAATATCGATAGTTCAAAAATGTTCGCTGCGTGTTTGTTTCGTCACTACGATACCTGTCTATTAAGTATGGCATTTGCCTTCATACAAATTGAATTCGACACTTCATCATTTATCAAACTAATCTGTCTTATTTAGACAAACTATAAGACCCACTGCATGAGTCACTGGTCTTTGTCTCCGAAGTCAAAATCTTAAAAGATTTCTAAGGATAGTGAAATAAAACTCAAATATTAGTAGTATAAGTTTTAATAAAAGTTAATAAAATCATAGCATATCTTAATAAAACTAGCACAGTGTTCGAAATATATACTTTTTTGTTGTGAGCATTATTTTGTTAAAGATTACACACGTTGATTTGCATTATTTAAAAAGTTTGTGATAAATCTATTATGGGTTTGTACCTCAATTCTTCCCCTAAATTGAAGTACAGCCCATTTCTATGAAAATGAGAAACCAACCGTCACATTCATACAAAAGTCAGTGATCATAAAATTTCAATACGAAAATCTAATTTGATAAAAGAAACGCTTGTGCGCATTGCGAATTCATCTATTCTAAGCTTCGTGCAATGAAGCCTTATCTATCATGTGTAAATTTCCCCGATTTACACATTACAAGATAATTTAAAACTGAAAAAATTGAGAAAAACCTTATACTAAATTCACAACTCCTCGTAAAAATGCTCTAAGTGTGTCTAAGTCTTTTTTAAATTTTAAAGCTTTTATTTGAGTAGCTTATATCATCGAAAGCTGCGAAAAGCTTTCCCTTTCAAATATCATATCCGCTTTAAGAAAACACACTCCTCACGTAGGAGATGGTCCCTTTACTTTGTTTAAAGAATTTTTTGATTAATTTTTTTAGACACGCCTATTACATTACGATATTCTTATAAAGCTGAAAATCACAAAATCTAGAATTTACTTGTATTTAATAATTCTTTAATTAAAATTTACTGTTGAAGTTATACAAAGATCTACTATATTAAATTATAACTATTTATTACTACAAATTTGCCAAAAAGCGAACTTCCTATGCTAAAGAAGCTAATATTCATTTTGTTCTAGAAGTTACAACTATTATTAATGAAAAAAATTGTGTAGTACACTTATTAAAATGTGATTTAATATATTTGATCGTGATGTGGTTGTTAATAATTTATTACTTAATCTAACTTAATAATTAATATGTAATGGCGGGCAAATTCACGCATTATAATCTAGAGGCACTTCAATAGTGGCTGAAATTCTTGCATTATATTATAATAGTGCATATTATTGCTCAAGATGTAGCGAAATCCTTATATTAAGAAAGCTTACTTTAATTAAGGTTCTAAATGAAAAAAACATATGGACTGGGTATTTTGTGTTCAAAGTCGTACTAGAAAAGATTTGTCATACATGTTTTATTTGACTTACGAATACCCGATTGAAACCTCAACTGCTTTCTTTAGATTATCAAACTTTTAACTTCTGCGTAGATTTGCAGTATTTATGCGTCCGGAACTCTAATTTCTACGGTCACGGATGTGGGACCGGCTGCAGTTGGTGAACGAAGTGTTGCCGATCTTAATGATGTTGCAGAATGTCCACTGCTGGCTCGGGATCCGCGACGAGATCCTAAAGGAATACAAGCAATGAAGACAAAACTAGATAAAATTCTCAACATCGATAAACCCTTAATTCGAGTGCCCAGTGACGAACAACTAATTAAAAAAAAAATTACCGTAGTTTAGAGTAAAACGTGAGATTTTATTGTGTTCACAAGTATATATTTTGTCACAAAACCAGTCGAATCAAGGGTTAAGTCGGAAATCACCATGCTTGTATTTCAGTCATTTCTACAAGCTATAAATCGGCCTTTATCTAATAGGTTTGAATACCAATCGGAAAGCAAGCTTCGACTAAATATGTTATGAATCAAAGAAATGCTTAACCTTGTCATCGTGTT